CTAAACTTCGGTTACTTAGAGTCCTATCGTTGGTGCATGGTGTGTATGGGAGCCTATTCAGACGCTTTTATCTCGAAAACTGTTCTTATTTTTTTCTAAACTTCGGTTACTTAGAGTCCTATCGTTGGTGTATGGTGTGAATCCAAATTTAAAAGCCTCAGTATGATATAAAGGGTCAAAAAAGGGTCCCAATCTTTGAAAATCTGTCCCGACAATGATCTGCAAAACGGAAGTAGTCGGGAAAAAAAAAACGTAAAAAAAATAACTACTCTTGCGAAAATCGCGATTTCTCCACCGGGTGTCACTGGATCAAAACAAATGGGCTATTGTATGACACTCTTCCTGTCTGATTTCTGAAAGCCGGTTTCAGTGCTGCTTGCAGGTCTAGTTATTATTATTATTATTATTATTATTTACCACGGGAACCTATTTCTCCATGATCGAAAACAGATATCGATATGGAACCATATTTTCTATCTTGAAATCATGTGGTGGCTACTTGATCAACTATTTTGAAACTTCTGCGCACACCGGAAGTGGCCGAACTTTGTACGTTGTCCTGAAATTGAAAATTGGCCATAGTTTCGTCAATTCCTTACCTATTTTCAGATAAATCACATTTCCGAGACAATAGCAATCTCTGATTTTGTAATTTCGAAACCTCGTCGTTGACTTCTATCGTTCAAAAATTCAAATCACGTTGTTTACAAGACAATTGTTTTTCAATATTTTCAAATTTTACTTACATTTTTCGATACTTGAAAAAAATAGGTACTCTTGCGTGAAATTTCGATTTCTCCGTCGGGTGTCACCGGATCAAAACAACTAAAGTATGATTTTGTAGCTCGATGAATGGGCTATTATATGACACTCCTCCTGTCTGGTTCCTGAAAGCCGGTTCAGTGCTGCTTGCAGGTCTAGTTATTATTATTATTATTCTTTTTGTTTTTTCTGTTTTGATTAGATCTCAGCAACTGCTTGTCGCATCCTGATGATGTCTTTGATTTTACTGGGAAAGTGGGTGTGACTTAGAGGATATAACTCTTTTTTGGACGTTCTGCAAAAATGAAAAATGTCCGAAAACACCGAAGTTGTCATTTTGAAAAAATAGTGCCGTAATCGTCGAATTTTAACTTTCGATACATTTTGGCATAGCCGGAGACAGTGCACACAGCTACGTTACTTTTGATTTTTGATTATTGGCAAATCTTTATAGATATTAGGCGCCAAGTTTCGAAAATTTAAATTTTAAAAGAAAAACTTTTTTTATTTATGAATATTTTCTTATAGCTTTTTTACACAGGATTAAAGGGTCCTCTGAATGGAGCAAAATGTGAAAAAAAATTGTTTCAGTAATTTGCGTTCGCCGCCATTGGCTAATTCAGTTTTTCAGTCCTAGATTAATTATTTATTATTTGATTTGTATAAAACAAAATTCTTATGTTCCGTTTTCCAAAATGTTTTTTTTTTTTGTTACCGATAAAGTTTCCTGTCGGCACCGGAAGTGACGTAATTTTACCAAAAACTATATTTTGACAGATCGGTACCACTTTTTGAAAGCAAATATTTTTTTTTTCAAATCTGGTATAACTGAAAGGATGTGCCCTTGAAAGACGCGCAAAACATCGAGATCAGTTTTCGATTTCGTTTTCGGGCTATTTCGAGAATTTATGCAAAAACTATTTTTTTTTTCAAATCTGGTATAACTGAAAGGATGTGCCCTTGAAAGACGCGCAAAACATCGAGATCAGTTTTCGATTTCGTTTTCGGGCTATTTCGAGAATTTATGCAAAAAATAGCTTGTAATATGAGCAGTTGTCGAGAAAAAGACAATTTTGCATGCGTCACTTTTCGCGTTATTTTGTCTGTAAAATAGTCAACTATTATTCGATTTTTACTATTTGATGTCTAATGTCCATTTTGACTAGGTCAAACCAAATTATCATTTTCATTGTCACCGGAAATGACGTGATTTGGTCAAAAACTGTATTTTTAGCCTTCAAAACAGGTATGTTATTCAAATGAATAAAGTTTTGTTAAGTTTTTAAAATTATGATATATATTTGATTCCGATCAACAAAAAGGATGAACCCATCCGATCATACAGATACCACAAAATGTTTTCTAACTCGTACATTTGCAGAGAAATAGAAATAAGTCACTTTTCAAGGTTTTTGGTCTATAAAAGTGTCAATTGTTATTCGATTGTCATACAATTTTCATCATGTGATGCCTTATGCCATTTATGATTTCATAGAACTAGTCTAACATTTTCATTATCACCGGAAGTAATGTCATTTTGGCAAGCCAAAAGGTGGCGAAGAACAACGACTTGTACTTTTTCTTTTCTTTATTATATATTCTCTATTTACAGTGATCGGCTCTCTCTTGAGCCCTAACTCTCTCTCTCTCTCTCTCTCTCTCTCTCTCTCTTTCCAACTCTCTCTCGAGCCGACGCGCCAATCCCACGAGTCCGTCTATTGGCAAGGTGTTACTGCCACAGACGCATGATGACTTCTTTTCAGTTCCCGATCAAACGTACTTTTATATGCTAATGAGTCACGTGACAGCTTAACCACGCCTACTACCTGACAGTCATATGCACGCGGTCAGCGGTGCCTTGTCTGTTATGATTTCCGAAGCATGTTATAGATGACAAGTCAAATAAATATACTATTCAAAAAAAGTAGGGGATATTTGATTTTTAAGTGTTATTAAAGTCACCTAATGAAACTGACGAAGAAACAAATGACAAAATGAAATGAAGTTCACATTCATCGATTTATTCCAAATGATCGTTAGACTAAGTAAGGCACAGACTGACCATTATAAGGGTAAAATGATACCCGGGGTCAAACAGCAAAGTTACCACAGCATCACAACCAAGTCAGTAACGGGTAAATCCTCCTCTCTTTGCCAAACAAGCATTGATCCGACGTGGCATACTCCTAATGAGACGTCTAAGGTCATTTTGGTCCAGATTGTCCCATTCCTGTTGCAACGCAGCAGCAAGTTCTTGGACATTGGCAGGACGTTGTTGACGTTGACGTAACCTCTGTCCAAGCATGTCCCAGACATGCTCGATGGGGGAGAGGTCGGGACTCAGTGCTGGCCAAGGTAATGTGGTGATGTTCTGTTGTTGGAGGTAACCTGTAACGATCCTGGCCCTGTGACATCTTGCGTTGTCATCCTGGAAGATGAAACGGCGGCCATGACGTCGTGCGAACGGCACAACATGGACTGCCAAGATGTTGTCCCGGTAGTACTGGCCTGTAACACGCCCTGCAACAACATGTAAAGCCGTTCTTCCAGCAACAGTGATGCCTGCCCACACCATAACAGAACCACCCCCAAATCGATCATGTCTGATGACGTTAACGTCTTGGAAGCGCTCGTTTCGACGCCGCCACACCCTCCTACGTCTGTCCAAAAAATCAACAGTGAACCTTGAGTCATCTGAAAACATCACATTGCTCCAGCGTCGATTATCCCAGTGTTGACGATCCCTACACCAACGATGTCTTGCCTGAATGTGATGATCTCTCAAACAAGGGATCACGCGAGGACGTCGGGCGCGAAGGTGACCCCTATGCAGTCGATTCCGAATCGTCTGGCCACTCACTCTCACACCAGTGTCTGTTTGAAGACGAGCGCTGATCTGATTTGCTGTGATGACACGATTTCTCAAGGCCAAGGTACGGATAAATCGATCCTGGGCTTGAGTTGTCGCCCTTGGTCGACCTGAGCGTGGTCTGTCCTGTACAGATTGTGTATCACGGTATCTGGACCATAGCCTGCTTATGACAGACTGAGAAACATTCATCGTCCGCGCCACAACCGCCTGTGTTGTGCCGATCTGTAGCATGCCAAGGGCACGTAACCTTTCATTTTGGGTAAGCCGACGCATATCAAAATTTGTTTTCTGGTCACTAAAACAATTAAACTGATGTTTCCACCCTGGAATTCAATGCCACAATGACTGTAACATTCAAAGTCAGAGTCGTGCAAATCTTGGGTTGGACCCCCATGATGTTCCCAAGCATCACCTGCATTCCATGCGGTAGCTATTGGTGCGTTTGGGCGTCACATGTAACTGGATTTGTTATTTCTGTTAGGTTCTATAGTGACTTTTTTCGGAGTCATTTGCATATTTTAGTATTATGCCCCCAAAATCAAATATCCCCTACTTTTTTTGAATAGTATAGTACATATTAGATAATAATTATGAAATGGAACATGATGTAAAAGGTAACTAACTAATTCCAAAAGTAGACATGGATCATAACGGTTCATAACACAATTTTGCCAGGATCACTTTTTAAGATTTTGTTCGCATTTTAATTTCCCATTAGAAAGTCAGCTTAGCGTTAAGTGTGTAAAAGATTTTGTCATTATCACTTTTTTGACATATTATGTAACACACGCTAACAAATGTATAAACGTCCATTTTATAACACGTGTGCAATGTTTATATGGAAATCTGTTCAACGGTTTTATTGGTACCGGAAGTGACAAACGTTCAAGAGTAACGTGGCACCGGAAGTGGGGGGGGATGGCTGAATGGTTAGCGTGCGCGCGCTGTATCATAAAGTCTGTCATTGAGTCAACTGGCGTGGTTTCGAATCCCCGGTTGTACGTGGCAAGGAGTAGGGTCGCCTGTCCAACCTCGTGGGTTTTCTCCGGGTCCTCCGGTTTCCTCCCACTGCTAAAGACCCCTACGCGCAAGCGAATTATTGAAATAAAATTAAACCATATGTTAGTCCCGAAATGACCGAGTTTGTGTCGAGTGGACGTTAAACCCCATTTCTCTCTCTCTCGCACCGGAAGTGAAATAAGTTCAAGGGTAACATGGCACCGGTGAAAACCGCCAGTAAGGTACTGCATCGCAGTTCTAGTTTACGATTATAATGTTAAACTGTGTATTTATGGGTTTTTTCTTTTGTAAATAATTTCTTAAGGGAGATGAATTTATAACTCATGAATTAAACTTTATTAACCAGTAAATGGTGGGTGGGGAAATTGGACATATTGGAGTGAATGTAGTACTACGTGTGGTGGAGGTACATCATCTAGACATAGATTATGTGATAATCCTTCACCTGATGAAGATGGTGAACCGTGTCAAGGTTATGATACAAAAGTTAAACCATGTAATAATGATACATGTCCTGGTAAGTCTAGATATACTTTGTTATACTTTTAGGGTGTATAGCTCCTGATATGATGTTATATGACGTGTCATTTCTTCAATAATGTATAGCTCCTTATATGATGTTATATGTGACGTGTAATTAGTTCTAGAATGTATAGCTCTTAATCTGATGTTATACGTGACGTGTTATTACTTCTATAATGTATAGCTACTGATATGTGACGTGTTATTGCGTCTATAATGTATACCTCCTGATATGATGTTATATGTGACGTGTTATTACTCTCGACTTATATTTTAATGCCCCGGGTATGGAGTGTTGTGTGATGTGACGTATAACTGCTAGACTGTATAACACATGATCCATATAGCAATGCTCATGAATTATGATGTTATATGTGATCTATTAAAGGTCTAGAGCATAATCATGTTCTATAAATAATTATGGTCTTACTAAAAGATGGCCCAGTGTTTGGATACTGCTCTATAAATATGTAATAGTTTCAGTGTAAATGGAAATGTCCACGGGTTGTATAATATTACTAAACTTTAACGTAGCTAAGTCTATATTATAAAAATTCTTCGACATTGAAAACAAGAATTATTTGTCAATTTAAACCAACATTGATATTGTGATCTTAACGTGAAAAGATGGGCTTCTGATATTCAATATTTATGACAAAAAACATTTTACCATTGGTACACGAATCGTGTACCATAATGCGTTTGTAGCAGGCGTGGAAAGCGGGCCATTGATTTCGGTCGCGACATCCTACGTACGACACATGCATCTTTTCTTACTACATATTTTAGTAGCCCTGTGATCGTCTAGAATTTGTCTCTAGCTGTCTTTGCTTCTCCTTCATGTTGTGTATTTACTTCTTACTGTTTTCTTAGTTAGTTAAGACGTTTGTCTTTCCAGGAATAACAATGCAACAGTTCGTTTTTATATTTTATATATCATAGCTGGATACATAGATACAAGCATAGTATAGATTACAATACTAAAGTCATTCTCAAACACTAGCCAGCCAGACTCGATGGGCGAGTCAGCTGATAGAAATTGCTAAATCTTTTCCCCTCTGGAATCAAGCTGCTATCTGGCGATTGCTCACAAATATGATAGTTTTGTAGCTTATGTTTTGACGTTCAATTATCCAATTGGTCAAATATGATGTTAATAATTAGAGAGATTGGCTAATTGAGCCAAATGACGTCGAAACCCACCCTTATGTGGTAATGGAAATTTACTGGAGAAACTTCCCATGAGATATCTGTTATCAACCTAGAATTGAATTTTTACCACATTATAAATCTTTTTTTTATTTAACCATCTGTCACTCATTCCCTAACTTGATTGAAGTACAAATCTACTAACTTGCCAGATATATTAATTAGTACAATATAATGCTAACATTAATTATAAGAGCAAAAATTCTAGCAATATTTATACACGTCTCAGTGGCATTTGTAACATGGGACTCGAAGAACAAGGCTAGACATATTCCACAAGTCATGTATGGAGAGCATGCACAATAAATACTACTGGTGTAGACTGGAATAACCAGACACTAGGGATTGCCATTCGACTGAGACTTCTGGCGTATTTCGCCGAACATAACAGATTTGAAATTAGGGTAATAATGGAAACGACTAAATGTAAATCAGTTTATATACATTCATATTACATTATTATATGGGTTGCGACCCAATTGTGTCAATTTCTATGTCCCATATATTAGCGATTTAGCTCCTTTAAATAGTGTTAGTGTTAAATCAATTATACATATCATCAATTCTAGAATGTAAGGCTACAGATTTAGCAAGAGCTCATGGGTCCAGTGTTCAATGTATTGGAACGACGTCCAGACTGGATTGTGAAATGATTTGCAAGCCAGGGACGCTTTATAATGGAGATGAAACTCCGAATTACACCTGTATAGATGGTGTTTGGCGCCCAGAGAGGAAATTATTACCATGTACAGGTAGGTATTATCGTAGTGTTAACAACATAGAACATCAATCTTATTTTGGGACATTGTTTAGTACACAATATTGTTTGTACATATTGCCTGTCTATATTTGTGTATGCTATTATATTGATTGAGTTTAGAACTGAAAAAAAAATGAAATGGGGTTTAACGTCCCACTGTTCTGCTCCGACTATACGTTATCCCTTGACAGGCCCTCTGTCCTACACCACTGAAAGGAGGAAACCATGCCGGAAAATTCAGATAAACTCTGTCGGCCAATGCCGGGATCGTACACGTTACCTTCAGGTTAGCAAGCCAATGTCTTACCTGCTGAGCCATCGTGGCTACCGAGGTATGAACTAATTTGCCTATTAATTTCCGAATGTACCAAAGCATAAGATGATACATACTTTCCAAAGTTAATAAATCAGAAGTTAGGAGTTTCTATTGATTAGATAAATACAAGTCATGCATATTTATTAGATTCTAGTAAATATTTATGGTAAAATATTACATACTTTTGCATATTAGATATTTGTCGACCATCAGGTATATTTAGGTTTGCTATGACAATAGACTAAAACACAAACTTTTGAAAGAAAGATTACTGATTTATTTAGGCGACGTTTCGAAGATTCTTCTGTCTAAAATATTACATACTTTTGCATATTAAAGACTCAATACCACTCTTGTTGTAACTGAATAATATGTCCCAATCTTTATTCTGGTCAACAAATTGTACTATTTTAGAATATTTCAATTAATTGATGATACAAATTTCATCTTAACACACCTTATTTAAAAATTTTGAAAAATTCAACATAATGGTTTGAAACGTCTAACGTAAACCTTTTCAAATGAAACTTCGATTTAAAAATATTTTCGAACCCTCTGGACAAGTAAAATAGGATGAAATGGATAATTTACACAACAGGTAGGACACTTAAAGATCTAGTACTTAGATAGAGATATTATTTTCTGGAGCTTTCAAGTCAGCAAGAGTGTTATTGTCCCTTTAAGATATTTGTCGACCATCCGATATATATATGTATACCATGACAATACTCTTCGATACGTCGCCTAAATAAATCAGTAATTGTTCTTCTAAAAGTATGTGTTATAGTTCATTGCTCTATCCAGTTACTAAATGCCCCTAAAAGATTATTGTTTACTATGACCGATTGTAGATTACAATAATTAAATTCACATTGTTTGTATGCGTATTTGCATTTTCGTAATTATACTGTAATAAGCTTTACTGTGAAAATTTACTTGACGATTTGTCAACCATCCGAGATCTCGAAAACAACATTTTTTGACCACATGTTTATAATCTCTTTGTATTTTCAGAGGTAACACAGTCTATATCCGTCCAAATAGAAGCAACAGTTAACTTCCCATCTCCAGCGATATGCGAACATAGTGAGGCATTCAGAAATCAGATATCCAATAAAATTCGTGAAGATACCTGTGCTGGAAGTAATACATGTCAGTATGAAGTTATAGCACCAGAATGTTCTCAAGGAAATAGAAGAAAACGAGATGCTGATACTGCTGTTACCATTATGTTAACCAAAGATTTGCCAGAAGGTGATCTCGGCCTGGCAGCTTATCAGACAAATGGTACCAGTAAGTATCCTGTTAGTACTATTATACTATATATACTATTCAAAAAAAGTAGGGGATATTTGATTTTTAAGTGTTATTAAAGTCACTTAATGAAACTGACGAAGAAACAAATGACAAAATGAAATGAAGTTCACATTCATCGATTTATTCCAAATGATCGTTAGACTAAGTAAGGCACAGACTGACCATTATAAGGGTAAAATGATACCCGGGGTCAAACAGCAAAGTTACCACAGCATCACAACCAAGTCAGTAACGGGTAAATCCTCCTCTGTTTGCCAAACAAGCATTGATCCGACGTGGCATACTCCTAATGAGACGTCTAAGGTCATTTTGGTCCAGATTGTCCCATTCCTGTTGCAACGCAGCAGCAAGTTCTTGGACATTGGCAGGACGTTGTTGACGTTGACCTAACCTCTGTCCAAGCATGTCCCAGACATGCTCGATGGGGGAGAGGTCGGGACTCAGTGCTGGCCAAGGTAATGTGGTGATGTTCTGTTGTTGGAGGTAACCTGTAACGATCCTGGCCCTGTGACATCTTGCGGTGTCATCCTGGAAGATGAAACGGCGGCCATGACGTCGTGCGAACGGCACAACATGGACTGCCAAGATGTTGTCCCGGTAGTGCTGGCCTGTAACACGCCCTGCAACAACATGTAAAGCCGTTCTTCCAGCAACAGTGATGCCTCCCCACACCATAACAGAACCACCCCCAAATCGATCATGTCTGATGACGTTAACGTCTTGGAAGCGCTCGTTTCGACGACGCCACACCCTCCTACGTCTGTCCAAAAAATCAACAGTGAACCTTGACTCATCTGAAAACATCACATTGCTCCAGCGTCGATTATCCCAGTGTTGACGATCCCTACACCAACGACGTCTTGCCTGGATGTGATGATCTCTCAAACAAGGGATCATGCGAGGACGTCGGGCGCGAAGGTGATCCCTATGCAGTCGATTCCGAATCGTCTGGCCACTCACTCTCACACCAGTGTCTGTTTGAAGACGAGCGCTGATCTGATTTGCTGTGATGACACGATTTCTCAAGGCCAAGGTAAGGATAAATCGATCCTGGGCTTGAGTTGTCGCCCTTGGTCGACCTGAGCGTGGTCTGTCCTGTACAGATTGTGTATTACGGTATCTGGACCATAGCCTGCTTATGACAGACTGAGAAACATTCATCGTCCGCGCCACAACCGCCTGTGTTGTGCCGATCTGTAGCATGCCAAGGGCACGTAACCTTTCATTTTGGGTAAGCCGACGCATATCAAAATTTGTTTTCTGGTCACTAAAACAATTAAACTGATGTTTCCACCCTGGAATTCAATGCCACAATGACTGTAACATTCAAAGTCAGAGTCGCGCAAATCTTGGGTTGGACCCCCATGATGATCCCAAGCATCACCTGCATTCCATGCGGTAGCTATTGGTGCGTTTGGGCGTCACATGTAACTGGAAATGTTTCTTCTGTTAGGTTCTATAGTGACTTTTTTCGTAGTCATTTGCATATTTTAGTATTATGCCCCCAAAATCAAATATCCCCTACTTTTTTTGAATAGTATAATATAAATATACCACAAGGTGATCTCGATCTGGACTTATCAGGCAAATATTACCAGTAAGTATACTGTTGGTACTAGTATATTTACTAAATATATACCACGAGATGATCTCGATTTTGTAGCTTATCAGACAAATGGTACCAGCAAGTATTCTATTGGTACCATAATATTAACTTAATATGTAATACAAGGTGATCTAGATCTAGCAGCTTATCGGATAAATGGTACCAGCAAGTATAGTATCGGTTCTGTTATATTAACTCAATATTTACCAAAAGGCGATCTCGGTCTAGCAGCTTATCAAACAAATGTTACGGATATTGATTTTATTCGAGTTTTAGTCAAAATTTAATAACTTTAAAACGATGCCTACGATTTTTCTGAAACTTCAGGAATATGAAGTCGAATGTCTAATCCAGTTCTTAAACTATAAATGAAAAAAATGAAACACCGAAAGTAGACAAGAAAAGTATCCGAACTTTGACAAAATTCGGAAAAATGGGTGGTTGTGCGGAAAATACGATGTATCAATTTTGTTTTCACCGAGTAGTTAAAGTTGTATATCGTTTGGTAGCCAATTGAATTGTCCTTCAGATGGTTCTAAAGTGACAAGTTTCTATTAAAAAATCAAAACGTTATGTGACTTTGAAAAGTAAGGTTTTTTAAGATTTCGAGGAAGTTTAGACGCCATTTTCTCGAAAACTCCATCTAATTTTTTTTAACTTCTTCAATAGATAGTCTAATCGGTATTCTTGGGTATGAAACCTTTGTTAAACAGTCTAAAATATAAGAGGTACCCCAAAAGCGAGATCGAAAATTGAAAACGGTGTATTTTCACGATTTGGAGCATGTTTAGGCGCCTTTTTCTCAAAAAGTCAACCAAATATTTTTTTTGAACTTCTATAGAGAGTCTAATCGGGCAATAACGAATAACGATTCGCCACTAAAAGAGAACGATCTATCTTGCATCCGACCATCCGATTAGCACGGAGACGACCGTTTCTAAAGGGCGTAGGTTGTTGATTAGTTTGTTAGAGTGCACGGGGCAGTCATCTCCAGCAATCACCTGTTTTATTGCCGAATCCCGAACATTGTGCTGGCTCGTTATTCGTGATTCGCCAATAACGAATAACGAGCCAGCACGTTATTCGGGATTCGGGATTCGCCACTGAAACAGACCGACCTAAGTTGCATCCGAACATTTCCTCGCTACCCCCGACCGTAGGGGTAAGTGAACGTTGGGTGACCGACTAACAAGGAGACGACCGTTTGTTGGGCGAACAAAGTGTTGACTGCTTTGTTGATGTGCACTAGGCAGTCCTCTCCTGCACTCATCTGTTTTATTGTCGATAGTAAAACAGACTGGCCTACCTACCACCCGAACGTTTCCTCACTACCTCCGACCGTAGGGATAAGTGAACGTTGCGCGGCCAACAAGTACGGAGACGACCGTTTGTTATGCGAGTAGGGTGCTAACTGGTTCGTTATAGTGTACTGAGCAGTCCTCTCCAGCAGTCATCTGTTTTATTGCCGAATCCCGAATCCAGAATAACGTGCTGGGTCGTTATTCGGGATTCGCCAATAACGAATACCGAGCCAGCACGTTATTCGGGATTCGGGATTCGCCACTAAAACATAACGATCTATCTTGTATCCGACCTTTTCCACGTTGGGTGACCGATTAGCACGGAGACGACCGTTTCTCAAGCGAGTAGGGTGCTGACTGGTTTGTTAGAGTGCACGGGGCAGTCATTTCCAGAAATCACCTGTTTTATTGAAGAATCCCGAATCCCGAATAACGTGCTGGCTCGTTATTCGTGATTCGCGAATCCCGAATATCGTGCTGGCTCGTTATTCGGGATTCGGGATTCGCCAGTAAAACATAACGATCTATCTTGTATCCGATTAGCACGGAGACGACCGTTTCTCAAGCGAGTAGGGTGCTTTAGAAACGGTCGTCTCCGTGCTAATCGGTCACCCAACGAGGAAATGGTCGGATGCAAGATAGATTGTTCTCTTTTAGTCCCGAATCCCGAATCCCGAATAACGTGCTGGCTCGTTATTCGTTATTGGCGAATCCCGAATAACGAGCCAGCACGATATTCGGGATTCGCGAATCCCGAATCCCGAATAACGTGCCAACTTCACGTTGCCGTCTAATCGGTAGTCTTATGTATGAAACCATTCTACAACAGTCCCAAATATCAGGAGCGGGAGAACAAAGGGATCGAAAATTGAAAACGACGCATTTCATTGTTAAGAGAAACATGCATTAAGGGTGGATCAAATCTGTACGTTTTGTCAACGTATAGAGCATATTCAAGAGTGTTTTTTTCTTTCACAGTGACGGTATTTGAACTAAAATTATTTCAACTATGAGTGTTTACCTCTACCCAAAAAAAGGATTTGATGACCCTATAACAGAAATAGTTGATTTCTTTGTATAATAATTAGTCTTTGAATTAATATGGTTGCTTCTTGGTCAAAATTATCTCATAACCGAAATCATTTAGACCGAATCGATGGCTTGGTATTTTATAAGCAAGTCAAATTTGTTGCGGGATCACAAGTTTCGAATATGGTACTTGTGATAGAAATCCTGATGATGCTTAAGCATGGACTAACTGTAATTATTATTAAGTTTTTTACATGTTAGTGACGTCAAATCTTTAACGTGCACGAAACCAAAAAATTGGCGATATTTCATAGAATATACAATCAATTTTTGAACCAGTTACATATTTGAGTTGTTATGTGAGGCTGGAAGAGGATGTTTGATAATTCAAAAAAGTAATTGAATGTCACTAGATAAGGCAAAAAGAGGAAAAAAGAAATAGCCCGTACATTCTCTTGTTTTTATTCATTCTATACTTAATAAAAACATGGTAATGCACGGACTTTTTCTATTTTTCTCGTTTTCTCTTATCTAGTGAGAGGGGTGGGGTGGATGGCCGAATGGTTAGTACGTGCGCGCTGTATCATAAGGCCTGTCATTGAGTCAACTGTCGTGGTTTCGAATCCCCGGTTGTACGTGACAAGGAGTTGGATCGCCTGTCCAACCTCGTGGGTTTTCTCCGGGTTTCTTCCCACTGCTAAAGACCCCTACGCACAAGCGAATTATTGAAATAAAATTAAACCATATGTTAGTCCCGAAATGACCTAGACTGTGTCGAGTGGACGTTAAACCCATCTCTCTCTCTCTCTCTCTCTCTCTCTCTCTCTCTCTCTCACACACACAATGACTAACACCAATATTGTCCTTTATGGTGATATACATTTCGATGGTGTGTTCCCACTTAGCCGGCAGACTGTTAATCCTTTGATTGATCTTAAAACTATAGTCTGTTCAAAAGTAGTCACTCAAGAACTGTTCACTAGTGTTCAGCGTTAATGAGCTCTTAATCTCCCCTAATATTTACAAGTTCATTAACTTAATAAAACAAGAACAATCTTATGTCGAAATCACCATTTCACAGATATTATTTGGTGGTACCAAAAGGCCTCGAGTTAAGAAAAATCGACAACTTGATACAAGAATTGAACATTTGAAAACACAGTTACTAAGTGGCTCTTTAAGTGTAAATCGGTATGGAACAAATATTTCCTATTTAGTGGGGCTGTAAAATGATTGTTATGTTGTAAGGCATTTATTTATAAATTATATAATGCTATTTAATAAAAGTTAAATGTGTAAATTGTAATGCATTTTTATATGTGTAAATCATTTAATGTTATTTAATAAATATTAAATTTGTTAAAATCAATATATTTTTATATGTTTAAGCTATTTAATGTTATTTAATAAAAGTTAAATTTGTTAAAATCAATACAGTTTTAGTCTTAAAAAAGTTATGGTCTATAGTTTATAACACCATTGTTCTAGGATTAACTCTGGATTAGCGGCAAAATTTGACATCAAAGCCTGCCGGCTAAGTGGGAACACCCCATTTCGATTCCGGTTTTGACCTTGACTTCGTTGTCGACCACGACTTTAGTTTTTCGGCTTAAACTCTAAATTTGTCTTCGCTTTCAAGCTTAACCTCGATTACAAAATGTCGTCAAGAATGCTATCTGAGGTCAACGTGAACTTTCTGTGTGGTGAAAGCCTTCAGTACTCGTATGGAGTTCTAGTTAATATCTTCAGTTAATCCACTAGATTAGATGTCATATTGAATATTGACATATTTTGTTCTTTATTCAATTTATCCACAGTTGGAAGCTATATAATTACTGAATAATGCCATATATTGATATATATTCAGTTAGTCCACAGCTAAAAGCTACAGTAGAAGCTATAGAAATATTAGAATTATCAGGTCAGATGTTACAGAATCAAACAGAGAATTTTACAGTGACGGTAAATGATGTTGTTTATAAAGCTACATCTGTAAATGTTAATGGTAAAACAATGTGTCAACCCGGATCTGTTGGACAAGCTGGTGTGTGTGGTAAATATATTTGTCTCTTTCATATCTTCTCGATTGATTCGAAACCAACAGCTGTGGGGTCACTGTACATATTTTATAAATAAATTTACAACATGATAAAACAGGACTATATTTTTTTCATTGGAGTGAATTAATTTATATGGAGAACGACTTTTCGTGTTGCCTACTCATTGTATGTTATGAGAATATAGTTAATATTTAGATGTATTATGAGGATGATTATACATTACAGTATTAAGAAATCGTGTTTTTGATCCTGCAATTATGGTGTGTTTTCTAAAACGTTTTCATATTCTTGTACAGGTGTGTGTACAGAAGGCACCTATGAAAATGGTAATCAGTGTATAGACTGTAAGCATGGTTATTATCAAGACGAACGAGGAACTGTTGAATGTAAACAATGTCCTTCTGGATGGACAACACAATATATTGGTTCTGTCGACGAATCTAGCTGTTCAGGTATGGTAGCAAAGGTTTTCTTGCTTTTAGTTAGAATTTTGTTATGCTTTTAGTTTGAATTTTGTTATTCTTTTAATTATGATTTAATTACGATTTTAGTTATGCCTTTAGTAAGATTTTAGTTGTGTAATTAATTAAAATTTTAGTTAGAATTTTGCTATGGTTTCAATATTTTTCACCGTATAACTTCAGTTTCATCAGACACTACCACCACAACCACACGGTCACAAGATGAACAATCGGATGTAGAAGACAACACTCCCAATACTTTGATAATAGCTGTAAGCTCAGGTGTGGTCTGTGTTGTCATTGTGGCTATATTTGGGTTTATAATATACTACGTCTGTAAGAGAAACAGGTTTGTACAGTAGTGTTTATGATTGCTTAAAGGATAAATCCCAATTTATAATTGCCCAGGGAATAACTCCCACATATGTTTAATATAATTTGCAGGGTTTCGCTGTGTTTAGATTACCGCATAGCCCAGTCTGAGAGAGAGAGAGAGAGAGAGAGAGAGAGAGAGAGGGATGTGGCTTAACGTCCACTCGACACAAACTAGGTCATTTCGGGACTAACATATTGTTTAATTTTATTTCAATAATCCGCTTACGCGTAGGGGTATTTAGCAGTGGGAGGAAACCGGAGGCCCCGGAGAAAACCCACGAGGTTGGACGGGCAACCCTGCTCCTTGTCACGTCCAACCGGGGATTCGAAACCACGCCAGTTGACTCAGTGACAGGCCTCATGATACAGCGCACACACCCAGTCTGTACACGGTACGTTAATAGTAGCGGTAAAGGGGTCACTTATTGAAAATTTGGAGGTGAGTGCTCTAAAGGAGTTACTAACTGTCTTAACGTTCCATGCGCATGTATACAGTTGCCTTGGAATTTCAACTCGCAGATTCGCAGTCAGTTTTTAGTTATTTCCGAAAAGTTTATTCGATGCTCCATTGAGCGGTATACGATATTATATTGGCTAAGTGCCGAGTTAAAACACCAGGGGATGATGTATCGACTATGCAAACTAAGCAGATCAATGAATATTCTCGATCATTCATACTATATTTTCTCCGCTTCGACAACGACGAAAACATTCTGGATCGATGGAAAGGGTGATAATATATATATATATATTACTATAAACATATGAAATGAAATGAAATGGAGTTTAACGTCCTACTGTTCTGCTCCTAAGCTGGGCTAATGAAGACGGTATAAACATATGATTCTTCACTGGAAAGTATTAGAATGCATCAAATCATGTTCTCCTAAGAGAAAATCGTTGTTATATCTATCGATCCAAGCATCGCTCATTCACCACTGATGACTGTTGTTTCTCTTACCAAATTACACATGCACCAGTATCGGTTGATTTGGCACAAACCGGGATAGTTAAGACAGACATATTGCATGCAGTGTGCAATGGAGTAGATTAGTGACCTGTCCACCTACTCTTCGTCGATTTCTTTCTGTAAGGGGTCTTTTTCTTGTACTACAACGTCCACATTGGACCTCGTTTTGTTCGACCCATCCGAACGAATAGACACTTTCCCAAGCCAGTCCCACCGTCCTGCATCACAGATGAGAGAGCACCAATCCAGATTTAACCCTGGGATCGAACCCCGGACCGCCGGTGTTATTGAGCTGACCTCTGATTGGGTTTAGATATTGTAATTGTAATATTGTTTACGATTTTTGTGATTTCATATTCAAAATGAACAATGACTTAATTTAATTTATTTATTTAGGACAAAGAAAAGAAACAAAGTACAGTCATCTCCTTTTCCCGTGGAGAATCCGTATAAACGAGTTGAGTTATCCTACTTCCAAAAGAAATAAAAAATTGAAATTCTTGGCCAGGATTCTGGGCACATTTACCAAGTATTGATTGGAAATGGCTATATTACTCCAACGTATTTAGACTAAATCTTATTTTTCTCTTATTTATCCCCACCACACAAAGTCAAACAAGTTCTCACAAACAAAACACCCTACCCCGCCCTAGAAAATCGAAAAACGGGTTGCAGTCCAAGCCCGTCCGTACTAAACCCGTTTGTAACTAGTTCTTCCTCGTTCCCCATACGTCCTCAACTGGTTCTAACTAATTTGTAACCCGACCACCCTGTTTAGGGACATTCCAACTCGCCCTCGTCTCGTTCTTGGTGTGTTCAAACTAGCTCCTAGTGCGTTTGCGATCCCATCCTGACTCAAGGTCAATAAAAAATCCAGGTCGTTTTTACTATTCCTCATTCCCGTTCAACGCTTTAAGCTGTGCATATCAAAACATTACAATGTGTTACTACAGTTGCCCCCAAAGAAACGTACCAGAAGAACTGCCGGGCAGCTACTAGTCGTGCCCAAAGATCCCCAAGGTCCTCTGAAGGCCAGCCTCCGGGGCCTGAAACTGGACCATGTAGATCTCCACACTCTGCCTCTATGCTTGATGTGGGGGGGGGGGGGGTGAATAATTTATAGACGATAAAACAAAATTCAGGGAATTGATCCAGAAAACCAAGACTCACACCCACCTCATCCCTGAGCAAGCCAAAGGCATGTTTAACAAAATACTTTTGGCCTATAATTGATGCTTCATCACGTCACGTAACGCGTCCCTAGTAAAGTTAGAAGTACAATTCCGTTCATAGTACGGCAATTTTATTCGTGTCCATCTCGTTTTACGTACGTTGTCACTACGTCTAATTGCAGGGCGGGGACAATTTTGGACAGGCTTAAAGTTCTATAGCACCCTTCCCGTGCAAGCCAATCCTTACCCTTCCACGGCGTTCTTAAACAGGTCGTAACCAGTACTATTTTCACTCTGTTGACACAGTTTATTGAGCCCGTTTGGCAGCATTTTCTAGAAAGTTGTGAGAACTAGTTTGATGTGATGGTACCTTAAAAGTATATTTCTAATAACTCGGAAAAATCATAAAAAATCTCATTAACAAAATCCTACATTTAGTTTTGAAAAGAGAAAATAAATATCACCCACTGCATACCACTGTTTGGCTATTTGTTTATAAGTGCTTTCAGCTATAAGTTATAACACGCTGCTCGGTAAACACGGCTATCGCTACTTATTGACGTGTTGTCTGACAAAAAGAATAATGTTTCATTCATAACGGCACCTGTACTAATATTTGTATATTGACTAAAGTATCTCACACAGTATATTGGTGTGGGCTACTAATATATTACTATAAATAATGTGCTTGACTTGACGAATCAGTACGAAAATATTGGATTTGGCAACAAATGTATTTTTTTTTTCCGGTAGTTTAATTTCACTTACAATCGGTAGTTGTGTATTTAGATTAGCAATCTAATGTATGTCAATTCGTTTTTGATTCCATATATTATATTTTATCTGGCTAAATTTTATTTAATGACAAATTTAACATTAGGTCTAGTTAGTTGCGTATCGGAAGCGTACAATGAAAACGCATCTTTTCCAATCATCTAAAGTCGCCACCCATTGGCCTTTTTATTAGCTCACCGTCTCGTACATAACTAGGGCGACGCCAGCTTTTAGAAATTATTATCAAAACTTCAAAACAATAAAATGGCGACACCTTAATAAACAGACGAACTATTAAATGCAAATTCTTTGCGTAACTATCTATCGTTTCTCAGTATATGCAGCTATGACGTCATTATACGCTTTTAACTGAATATCACTATTTTAGCATTACTTTCTAATTATTTCACACAAAAAGATTAGTTTGCTGTAATATCGAAGAGGCATCCAATTAACAGAGTCCGTTTGCGCTTAGCTGATTAAGGTGTCTCTATTTAAGTATAATTCAACGATCTATTTCTGATAAATTGTTGTTCGGTAATTGAGGATACTGAGGGGGCCTTATTTTCACAGTAAGATCAATATTACAACATTATTGAATTAGTCTCATATTTAATTCATTTCGTTTTTTTTAATTTCAAATTTGGAGCATAATGTTGAGTTAAATACAAAGCTCATGTAAGAAACCGGCTGTTTTGTTTAGTTTAATGAGCCCCCAACCCATATTTCATAATATTGCGCATTTCGGATTTTCTTACCGGATGTTAAGGATGTCGCTTTACCTACAATAAAATTGTCTTATTATAGCTATACTGGTAGTAATTATTGTCTTTAGTTGGAAATAAAGAAGCTTGCTTTAAAGGTGTAGATGTATATATTATTAAGTAAATAAATTTTGAACAAATTTGCAAACACTTTTTAAGTTTTATAGTTTTAATGGTCTATAAGAAGACTGGGTTTGAATTTCGTGTATGACCACCACATAAGTTTACCATTCTTTAGCAAGGGACTTGAAAGATGTTTAGCAAACTGCTGAAAACAAAATTGACGCACTACTTTTTAACAACACAAATAAGCAATGAGGTAGCATCAATGTCAAGTGAAAATCGCTTTTGCTAGAGGGAATGTATTATTTTTAGGCAGACAATATATATCAATTACAATCGGAGGGCCACGGTGACTTAGTGAATATGACGCTGGCTCGCTAGTCTGGAGGTCTCGTATTCGCTCGGGATTTTCCGGCGAAGTTTCCCCTTGTCAGTGGTGGAGGACGGAGGGCTTGACAAGGATAGCTTTACTGAGAAAAAAAACTTGTCAGAGAGCCGGCCGTATACTGTTTATCGTCCATTTAGGGATCTCCGTTGGATCATTATTCTCCCCGTTGGTAACAGAACCGTTTCTTGTTCCAAAACATTTAGTAGAGAATCAAAACTCGGATATTAAATCACAAGACACAGTTATCACATGCAACGTCACAAATAATGCTACCCTTAATTCAAACATTTCTTGTATCAACAAGCAGAAATTAGACATAGCTGTGATATGCAACACGACTTTTTTGTCAATTGAAAAACCATCAAACATTTCTTGTATCAATAACCAAACAAATTCATTCCAACCCACAGCCTACGTAATACAATTACAAAATGCTTTTATTATATCTGCCATTTTAGCCGTTCTGACGTCATTGCCGTTCTTAGTAAAAAGTTTTAAGTATGAAAGTAATTTAGCCAAGGGAGATAATTCAAGAAAATCCGAAGAACAACGAAATGTGCCTCCATTATATTATGTTATATCTATTGTGTTAATCATGTGTATGCATATATGTAACAGTGGCATTTTTGACGCATTTTCTGCATTTCTAATGACTTTTGTTGTGAAACAAATGGACTGGTCGAAAAAAGATGGCGCCTTAGTAACGTCAGCGTTCTGGGCATCATTAGTTACGGCTCGGATTCTCGTCATTTTTGTTGCGGACTTGATTAGCCCGGCAAAACTTTTACTATTTGCTATGTGCTTTGTAATATGTGCTTTAATAGGATTATGGATAAGTGCTCTATATTTAGTACATACGGGTATTTGGGTATTTGCATGTGTAGCGGGCAGTGCCATATCAATTCTATTTCCTACTACAGTCGCACTCACGGACAAAGAACTCATACCAGTAAACGGAAAGGTTTCTTCATCCATCCTGGTTGCTGGGGCAATTGGTCTTCTTAGCAACCCGGTGATATTAGGCTTCTTCATCAAAGAGTTTTCTGCTCTTTGGTTTTGTTACTTGTTGCTAGGTGAAGCTATCGTGTCCGTTGTTTTCCTATTTTTGATTATGATTTACGGAAGAAAGATATTAAAGAGAGTTCGAAAAAAGACCGTCATGGAAATTCAGAACATGGTGCCCAGGACACATTAATGGACGAGTCAGATAATGTTACTGTTTTAGGATTAGAGGACAAATCTGATGTTTAATATAATTAGTATTTGTTCGTCTAACAGTTTAATTCTTGTTGATTCCTGGAGTAACTCAGAGAACTTACTTTTACCGGTCAAAAGTTTCATCCCGGTTGAATTATAAATTAAATCAAAGTGCGGACAGGGATCTTTGTCGATAATCCGAATTCGACAACTGTCTCGGTTTAGTCGTAAATATTATTGGTAACTAATGCTTGATTAATTCAAGAGAGAACGACAGAGAGAGAGAGAAAGAGAGAGAGAGAGAAAGAGAGAGGGGCAAGTGAGCGAGCGAGAGCGGGTGAGGGAGAGAGGTGTAGATGGTGGTTGTGTGTGTGTCGGGGTGGGGGGTAACATCCAGTTAGCAGAAGGAGTGTTACTGTGGGATGTGGACGCCACAATGACGATCATTTATGAGCATATGTCGATTGTAACCGATTAAATAAATATATGGTTCCAAATGCCTTTGGGAAATTATTTTAATCGATTGCTAATAACAGTTTGTTAGAATATCTAAAGCCCCATCCTATCAGAGTAAAGATCAAATAGACAATACCAAAATTTCGGAAAAAGTTAGAGCCGGTCTACGAGATGAGAATTAACATTAAAGTCAGTGCTGGGAAATCGTTAGTGATCTTTGGCCATATTACAAATTATACAGTTCACAATTCTATGGAATACAATTACTGCTTATTACTGAGCGACGTTTCGACTAGGCTTCTCTAGAGTGGGCCCCTTTTGTCATTATCAAGCTTGATATTCCAATTCAATTACTAAATGCCATTAAAACAATATTACAAATTCCAAGGATTTTGATGTATTATTGTTTGTAGTTATCTCCCTTGAAACCATGTTTTGTCTGGTATTCCACAGTAAAAGGGACCTGCATGGGTATTAGGTTAAATAACTGAGATTAAATAGCTGAACTTTCCGGCAACTTGATATTTTACAGTTTTTTCTACAAAATTTTACCTTATAACCTTAATTCTAAAAAAGAATGGTCTACTTAATTAACAGTCAAAACTCACATTTAATTGGTGACTTTTCCTGGACTTAAAACATATTATTCATCTTTTTCTACAATTTTCAACAATTGCCTTGATTATCCCAGAAATCAATATGGCTGTGTTGCTAAGCTACATGACAGAGCTTCGGGTCTAGCCCACCAATATATTAATTCCCCCTTTGTTACATTTCTCAAAACAAAAAACAGTCATCATGCATAATGGTGACAGCACCCGGGCATAACACCCAAAAAAATTGAACTCGTCCATGATCGTTTCATAATCAACATATATAAAAGAGAGAGAGAGAGAGAGAGAGAGAGAGAGAGAGAGACGACACAAACTAGGTCATTTCGGGACTAACACATGGTTCAATTTTATTTCAATAATTCGGTTGCGCGTAGGGGTTTTTAGCAGTGGGAGGAAACCGGAGGACCCGGAGAAAACCCTCGAGGTTGGACAGGCGACCCTACTCCTTTCCACATACAACCGGCGAATCGAAACCACACCAGTTGTGTAGGTCGTTAAATCCCATTTCATTTCATTTCCTTTCCTTTCATCTTTTTATAGATCTAAAATGACTCAATGACAGACCTTATGATATAGCGCGTACGTGCTAACCATTCGGTCACTCAACCCCTATAACATATATAATCATTTTTATTCGAATCGGAAAACACTAATTGTTTAGTGTACATACTGATATTTCACATTTGTGTAAAACACAGGTGGGATAAATCCGGAACGGTAGTAGGTCGATCTGATATCCGCCATAATGGAACTCGAATCTAAGATCTTTTTATACCTAATATATATGTAAAGTTTCATCTGAACAGGACAAAACTTGTGGCCCCAGGGAGGGATTTTACTTAATTTTTTACTTATTAATTAGCTAATTACTCAAACCCCTCCGGGCTGACATTGATCAAGTATGAATTAAACCGTTGAGAAAAAAACTAGAATATATGAGCGAACTAATTATCAACGATTTCACTATAACTATTTTTTTTTTTTTTTAATTCTGCAACATCTTATTTTTCGTTTGTAAAATTCCTTGCAATAGTAAATAAGTAGAGGCATAACGTCACATGACACAAGAATATCGACCTGTACTCGCAAACTTACTGCATGGCCCCGTTTTACAAGTTAAGTTTCTCTCTCCATTCTAGTACTTCAATAGGCTATAGCTATATTACCACAAGTCTTACGTAGTGTTATGGCTATCACTTAATATTGGCTCAAGTCTAAAGTTCTAATTCTTAAGCCCTGCTTACACTGTCAAATTGGATTCAATTTACCGATTTCAACTGGGTATAGCTTGATGAATTGTGTCTTTTCAAATGTTAAAGGACTCCCAGTGACTCGACTATCGACTTTTTGTCAGCAAATAGACTACTTCAAACCGTTAAAGCATATTGATATAATGGCAATAAATGACATACAGTGTTAACCTGGCTTTAAGTAACTTAAGGCGATCGCAGCTACACCGACATTGATGGTCGATATATTGTGTTCACAATGCAGGGACGAGTGGAAGAAGCAGACGATAAACAAAATGGCCGTGGATTTCTGGCAAAATGGAAGAATACAGCTTACAGGGCCAGACTTCTACACACAACATGGCTGTTTTTATCTTTCATTTCACTGGTAAGAATACATTAACTTATATTACAGAAATCTTCAAGACAGGCGCGTGCATGATAAGTACCCGGTTACCCAGTACTATCTCGCCAGTACCAGTTACGAAGGAAGGCAAGTCACAGGGCCAGACATCTACACGCAACATGGCTATTTTTATCTTTCATAGAATACACTAAGAAATCTCCAAGACGATTAAGCGTGCGCGTAATATGTACCCGGTTACCCAGTACCCCGTATGGATAGGGACCACCAATAATTTCTTTCAACAACAGCGTTTATAGTCCTTAAATTACTACAATGATATTGATTTTGCCACGATATTGATTTTTCCACAGTTTGGCACAAACTAGGACGGCATGGATGTAATACACGTGTTTTTTTATGGGACAAGCCACTATACACGAGCTATACAAATTAAAATTGAATACACTTGAACAGCTGTTTGGGTCGTAGGAAATCCAACATTCGGTAGGCTCTCTCTTTGTTTCAGAGGAGATAGTCTGGGCTCTCGGATTCACTGCCCGTGTTGTCTGAGTAAGTTCCTCGGGATTTTTAGGCGTGGTTTTCCCTTGGTGTGCATGTGTATGAACCGTTGACAGTTGGAATTCGATATAACAGTAGGCAGTACAGCGCCACTGTCCGGGCAAAATTTCCCCATAACACGGCATTAGTCGTAGAGAATCCGAAATTCGGTAGGCTCGTTTTTTTTTTGTTTCAGAGGAGCCGCGATGGCTCTGTTAGTAAGAAGCTGACTCGCTAGCCTGGACGTCTCAGACTCGCTCACCTTGTTGGCTGAGAAAGTTGGCTGTGGTTTCCCCTTGTCAGGACTGTTGGCAGTTGGAATATGAGTAGGCCGTAGTTTCGCTGTCTGCGCAAATATCTCTCTCAAGGCCATGGCATGGCGTTGCGGTCCGTCTTTATCAACCCGATTGGTGCAGAACAGTAGGACGTTAAACCCCATTTCATTTCATTGTTTCAGACACAGCACCGATGTGACGGTGTGGAATGATCCCTGGTGTGTGATTATCGTATAGCGCATGCGCAGTTGTAGGAGTTATCTCACACCGTTAAAGACGCTGTGTGCATTGAGACCCCGTGATAGGATTACCCTTACGGATATTCTTACGGTCAAATCCGTTTCTACACTACAAATATCTACCTAGATTTACCGTATTACCATCAGTATAGGGTGTGAGGTTTCTTTCAATAAAACGTTGTTGGGGTTTTTTAAATGTTCTAATATACAAATAGATTCGACGATCTTTATAATTATTACCGTCAACAATTATTTGGCCCAAAATGTCTAGATCAGCTACTCAGTATTGGTAAAAAATTAATCCAAACTTTCCCTTGTATAAATGCCGATTTCCATACATATTTGAACCCAAATTTACAAGGAGTATTTCTTACCAGTGTTTTCAGATTTAAGTCCCATGGTTTGCATGACAAAAGGCTTATATTTGAGTAATTAATTCAGAAGTTGTTGAAATTTTAATAAGAACTACAAAATTAACAACAATAACAATGATACAGAGATGTACAAAAAAAATTGGAATCAAAGTCGAAGTCAATCACTTAAACCTAAAGCCCAATGTTCTATCAGCAAAATAGTCATTTATATTAACACAAATATAAACAACCAAAAGTTTTAAACAAAAAAGATTCTACAGCTAATACAGTAATACATTGTTGTTCTTAGTGTTTAACGTCCGCTTTATCATTTTTATTATCTTAGCGCACGCATCTTTCCTGTGGGAGGGAAACTGGAGTACCCGGAGTAAACCCACGAGGTTGAGAAGGCTCCACTATTTCCAAGCCACTTACGCTCACACCAGGGATCGAAACCACAACCGCAAGTCAGAGGTGACCACTAGGCCATCCCAACCCCCCTAGAGTAAAATACAACAACGTAGTAGAAACCATACATGACAACGACAAGATCACAGGGATGAAACGCACCAATGAAACTATACAATGAGTAGATGAGGGAGTTAACTAACTTGAGATTCAATGCCCCTTGAGGACGAGTTAACAACAAAAATAGAAACAGGCGTAGGGGTCTTAAGCAGTGGGAGGAAACCGGGGAACTCGGAGAAAACCCCGCGAGGTTGGGCAGGCGACCCTACTCCTTGTCACGTACAATCGGGGATTCGAAACCACGCCAGTTGACTCAATGACAGACCTTATGATACAGCGCGCACGTGCTAACCATTCGGCCATCCAACCCCCATACCTAAAAACAAGTAGATCAAAGGCTTATAACACAATAGGTAACATACAAAAGCAAGAAAAGGGAGCCAGTTTGTTTAAAGATCCATGAGGCCACTGAATTCAGGGAGTGATTAATATAATTAAGACATATTATCAGAGTATATTCAATAGATAAATATAACATGATGACGGTGTTTAAGGCTAGATTAAATATAACTGGTATTTAATTACATATGACTATTTAATAACATCTAATTATATGATAAAATGATAATTGGGAATTTAATAGAGATATAGATTCAATAGAATACTTATAATCATGAATATAACAGGGTAGCATAGGCGTACGGGTAAATTTTTGACTGGGGGGGGGGGCGGTGGTGGTTGGTGCCCAAAAAATGTAGTTAGGTTCTTAGTATGTTACATGATAATAATAAATTTGCTGTTAAATTGGACACATTCAAGAACACAATATTTTTTTTATACAACTGTGTGCCCAAATTTTCCCAGCATTTGGTGCCCAAAATGGGGGGGGGGGGCAGCCCCCCCCCCCCAGCTCGTACGCCTATGCAGGGTAGTAAATAAAAATAACGAATCAAAGGATAAAATCACAGCACAAATGTCCAGTAATGAGGAAAAGTAGAAAACATAATATTATTAAATTAATTAGTCTTACGCGTTGTGCAAGAATATCCCTGTAAAACACGATTAAGATCTGGACTGTCCTTTCTTGTATGTATTGCCTCCATTATTTTCAGTGTCTTTTCTATTGGGAGATTAGCTGCCAAGGTTTTATATGACTGGATTCTGTGTCCCAGGGTTGGGCTGGAGGTGTTGTGCTATAGCCGAGTTACTGATGGAGGACTTGGGCTTGTGGTGGCTTATTCTTATATCAAGGACCTGTCTGGTTTAACCGATATATGTGCTGTGACAGGAGAAGGCTACTTATAGACACACTGTATCTGGGGTAGGGGTTTGTTCGAAGGGTGCTTACCATTGGCTTTCAGGATATCGTTTAGGGTTCGTCCTTTGAAGAAGGTGACTTGGATGCCTGTTGGGATGACGGGTGAGATTTGTTGCGTGCTTAGGGTCTCTTTTGGTCTTAATCCGACCCTGACCCAGATATAATGTTTGCTTTTTTTAGGGTTTTATCGGCGGGCAAAGAGGACCTTCATTTT